AATTGCAGATTTTTTAGGTTTCATACACATTCATTGCAGAACTATGTAAATCCTTCTGGATTAGGTTATATATCTAAGCCAGTGGAAGATTTTGGGGCTTGCCAGTTCACTTACCTGTAAATGCAGGATGGTTTGGATTTTGTTGTAAATTGATTAATGGGCTTATCCATTTATGCTTCTTGTGTATTTGGTGGAATGTCTGCACCACTGTCAGGGCTGGGGCTTTTGCATGCTCTCTGAGAACAAGACCCTTGGGGTCCGTAGCTCTGTTCTAGTATGGCCTCCAGGAGCTATCAGCAAAAGGTGCTGCTCTGTTGGTGTTGCAGGCTGTGCATGGCATGACACTGGAAATGAGGAAGAGATGAGAACTTGATTCAAGAGACGGCTGCATCAGCTCTGGTTCTCTGGTGGGGAAGAGGCTCTGGCAGGCTGGGTATCACCTCCAGGTCTTGTCTGGCAAAGAGGTGTCCAGCTGTGGTGGCAGCAGCAGCTACTACTTTACATTTTTTAAGCACCTCTGCTGTTTCTTTCCCTCAGACCAGTTCCCAGGCTGCAGCAGTGTGTATTTCTGGTGAGGTCATGTTTTAATGGAAGAGAAGGGAAGGAGGCGGTGTAATGAATGACACCAGCTTTCTGTCGCAGCCTTTCGCTTCAAGGCGATGGTCTCTAGTCAAAGCCCTCAGAGCACAAACTGGGAGCAGTGGCTCAAGGCTTTGTCCGCAGAAGAAGAAAGACAACATTCTTCAAGGGTGTGGAAGATGAGAAGATCCCATGGACTGTCCTCAGGAGAAAGGAGGGCATTCCTGTGGGATTGATACTCTGCAGAGTAGCACAAACTCTTCAGCCCCTGGGCTCTGTGGGTTTCCATCATGCTTTTGTGTCCCGGGGGAAGTTGTCCTACTTGTCTGTTCCAACTGTTTTCCCAGGAAGATTTTTCTGAGCCTCGAGTGTACCCTGAACAATATCTGTATTTTTTTTTCCAAGTTTTATATTATCTGCTTATGGGAGACATGACAACGGATTTCACAGTTCTGTGCTCATGTTTCTGCTTTTCCTTAGAACCATACTGTGGTCTCAGCTCTTACACACAGCTGCACTTAGGACACGTCCTGATGAGGCTGGAGACTGGAACAGCTTCATCCTGTGAGAGAAAACAGTTCACATGCAAGGAAGCTTTCCCATGTGCTGACACAGGTATTGTGTGGGCAAGTCCTGTCTTGAAGGACTGTCCATGAAAACTAATACTTTTATAATGGAAAAATGGATGTGCATTCAGACGTGTCCATTGGGTTTAGCGCTATGGTTTGCATAGCGCTAGGCCAGCACTGCTTTCCTGTGTGTGGTTACACAGCCAAACCTTCAGCTAGGTGGCAGCTTGCCTTGTTTTGCTCACAAACTGATGAGCACTGATCCACTTGCGCTTTGGATACTGGCAGCATGAAACCATCCTGAAGCTGCAGCGCTCGCTGGGCAGAGGTGACCCATGCTGCTGGGTGGCTGCACAACCTGTGTACTCCTATGGCTTAGGCTGCAGCTCTGGCTAACTCCCCATTTCCAGGTGTGAAAGCTGTGCTCAGTATCCTGTGAATGATGAAGGCAGCACTTCATCCGTCATCTCTTGTGAGCTGAATCCTGCCCCAGGGTTGCATCTGACTTGAGTTCATCTTCAGTCCTCTAACCAGTTTTGAAGTTGATCTGTGAGCCCATCTGCCTGTTTACCTTCTATTCGTGTCTGACAAGGCAGCTTGAGGCAGGCATTTTATGGCGATGAGAAGGCAGACTTCTTCCATGCGTGCAGGAAGAGTAAATCGTGACTCAAAGCCTGGCATCCTACAGGCTAAGGAAAAAAGCAAGACGGTTCAAGAGGAAGCTGCAAAGCCTCAGCCATGTCTGCTCCCAGTCCATGCAGTCTGTGGAATTGCCTTCCCTGCAGCAAATATGTTGGCACTGAGGCATTTTCTCTCCAGATTGTTTTCATCATGTAAAATGCAACCTTCCTTGTTTTCTGCTTCAGTTCTTCAGTGCAGGAGCAACAGTGACTTTTACATCCTGATGTGTGCAAAAGGTCATGGGCACATCTTACATATGCAAAAAACCTGAGGAAGCTGTAGTATATCCTTTCCTGAGAGAGTTTCCTAGATAGAAAGAGTACCTTGGGTTTAATTTTCTCAATTATAATGTGTCTTGAGTTCAGAGTGATTTCCATTGGTTATCATTGTCCAGATAAACCCACTTCACCCTGTGCAAATAATTGCCATGTTCTGTGTTCAGAGTGGGGCAAAAAAAAGCTTGTAGTGGCTGTGGTCTGTGCCAGGCAGCTGGTGTTCCACCTCCCCTGCCAAGTGCAGTGGGAGCTCCCCCATGCTGCTCATGTGGCACAGCTCCAGGACTGCACCGCATCCAGGGTGCTGGCTCCATTTCAGCTTCTGTGTGTGTGAGTAGTTTGGCTGAAGGCTTGCTGGGGTTTGATCCTGCAGGAAGAGCATCCCTGGGATGGTGGGGGGGCCACCCTCCTTTCCACTCTGTTGTGAAGAGGAGTTCTTTGTTCTCCTCTATTCTCCTAATATCGTGGAGGTGAGCAGATGACAGCAGTGCTGGACATGATGCATCAGGGAACTGGTTGCTCAGCATTTGGAGGTTTGGGCAATGGGATGCTGGTAGAGACGCTTAATGGGGGCATCTTCACTTCCACTGGGCAAAAGCACTGGCATTCAGGGACCCAAAAACAGAGATGGGCTATACAGACCATCTATCCTGAGGATGTGTGGTTATCTGACCAGCTGCTCTTCATCTTACTCTCCAGTCATCCCACCCAAGCACAGATCGAGTCACAGCTTTGTTTTCCCCACTTAAGTCTACCTACAGCTCCAGGTAAAAGACAACTCACTCTCTAAAACAGGTCTGTCACTGATCTGTTTCCTTAGATGCTCTCTGGGAAAGAGTTCTGCCCATTTACCGGGCTACTGAAAAGGCAGAGCTCTGCAAAAAGCAGCAGTGCTGCCAGAAAGGGATCTACAAACAAATGGAAAAAAAGGATTCAAAGCACTTGTTAGCACCTGAAACCCCTGAACTGAGTGGAACTGAGAGTCTGAGTAAGTGTGCAAACTGGTTCTGTAGCTCAGGTTCGTTGGTTTTGTTTTAAGATCACCTAATGTAAGAGATACATCTTCAGTGCTTTCACCACCAGAACCTTTCAGCTGGCATCTTGTTGCATGGCCAGGTAAGAAACCTCTTGAGCTTGTGGGAAGTCACTAAGCTCAAGTGGCAGTGTCTCTTACGCACAAGAGTCATTTCTCATGATTAGCTGAAAAAATCACCCTCTTCAGTCTTCTCAGCAACTGCAGTTTTGTCTCACTTAAAAAATGATAGCGTGTAGCATTTGTCTTTGTTAGATGAATAATGTAGTGATTTGCTTAATATGCATTGTCTTTTGCTGTTTTATTAATAGGGATTAATAGCATTAGCTCAAAACCCATAGGTCAGCTACCTCGTCTTATGATGCATGTACTGGACAGGAGAGTAAAAACAGACAGTTTCTAAAATGATGAATGGGAAACTCCAGAACCTCACTTAATTCCAGCAAAACTGTTTTAGAAGCAGCAAGTACTGGCAAGGCAAGTAAGTCTTTTGTCTTGCAAGTGGCTGTGAATTGATGATGGTTATAGAGGAATACAATTAAAAGAAAACAAACTTTCCAATAATTCATTGCTTGAGATGTGGCAAAGTGATCTCCATAGTGCAAATGAAGTTCATGAAGTTCCTGTTGAAATTAGTTGTGGGCTCAAGTACTGCTTTGATATGATTATTTACCTGTAAATGATCTAGTATCTTACCTCCACTGAGCAAAGGATGGGTCAGAAGTAGGGTTACACTGATATCAGGTAGTTAAATGGTGTGATGGTGCCTTCCTAGGCATCATTTCATGGCACAGAGAAAGCCTCCAAGGTCATGGCACAGTTTGAGGCCCCTCCTTGCATCCCAAAACTTCTGCCTTTTCCCTGGTGCAGTGACTGTTCCAGCTGCATCGCTCCCTTGTGGACCTTCCTATACTCCTGCAGCTCTTCCTGTTTTCTTGGTGATACTGAAAAAGTTACCGGTGGAACCCACTGCACCTTTATTCCAGGTGCAGAAATGTGCTCATCCCTTGGCTATTTGATAAGCTAATTTTGAGAAGCAGCATAGTGGTTTGCTGTGTTCCATCCAGAAAGATTTCTTGCAACCTAATGATATGTTCAGTTTAGATAGATATTTTCTTTTTTTTTACTTGTCACTGCCAAAAGCTAATGTGCTATCATTCAAAACTGGATTTTCTTCAGGAGGGTTGGAGAAACCTTGCTCCAGAGGACCCACCTGACTTCCCCAAGTTATTCAAGGACATCTGCTCTCTACTCTGGCTACTTCAGAATCATAGAAAGGTTTGGTTTGGAAGGGACTTTAAGGATTATCTGGTTCTAATCCCCCTGACATGGGCAGTGACACCTTCCACTAGACCAGGTTGCTAAAAGACCCATCCAACCTGACCTTGAACGCTGACAGGGATGGGGCAGCCACAGCTTCTCTGGACAACCCGTGCTAATGTCTCACTACCCGCACAGCAAAGAATCTTTTCCTCATGTCCAGCCTAAGCCTATCATCTTCCAGTTTAAAACCATTACCCCTTGTCCTACTTTGGCTGGCACGCTGGGAGCTCTTGTCTCCAAGCCTGCGTAGTTTTGTGGGAGGTTGGCTCCCTGTCTGCTGCCCACCTGCACTGGCTGCCTGGCAGCTCCTGAGCAATCAGGCAGAGTGCAGTGGCCAGACTCACTGAAGGCTGCTGCAGGAAAGACACCAGGAGCATAAATACATGTGCCAGGGGTGTGAGCCAGTGTCTGCCTCACGCCGTCCCTCCTGCCAACCTCCAAGAGCGTGTTCTGCTCGGCCTCTGCAGGTACCATAAGATGAGTCATCACATAAGCTAGAAAGCCTTTTTCAAAACAACATTTGATGCCTTCATTGAGGACTACATGAGCACAGATGCATTTATTTCTGTTTCACAGATACCAGGAATTACAAAGAAATTAAAATACATCATCTTAAGATGTGTCTTGCTGTTTCCTCTTGTATTTACATGGGCTATGTGAAGATTTCATCTGATGTCTTTTATACTTCAGCTAAAGACAGAAATAAAGTATTTTTCTACTTCTGATAATAGGCAGCTACTCATAATATGTTAAGACGCAGGTAAAATAAGAGCAGAAGCCCTAAAATGCCAGGTTTCGCTGTCTGGGAGCACTGAAAATACGTTTTCTGTTGTAGAGCTGACTTTTGGTTTACTTTGCAGTCAGCTAATGGTAAAATGTAGTGATTATAATTCTAGGCTACCTCCCAAGGACAAGAAATACACAGAATGGCTGGGAGTGGTAATTCTGAGAACGGATCACAAATAGCTTCTCTGCTATAGCATGCGAGTCCCTCTCGAAATGGGTGATCACTCGCTGCAGCAGGGCAGCACTGGTGATGTACCTCCTGCTTTGTCTGGAGGATCCACACCAAGGAACCCAAGGTGGACACTGATGCTGAGATCTCACCCCAAAGGGATTGTATAGATCCTATGCTACCAGATAGCTCCCAGGAGCCTCGTTTGCCCATATGGTGGGATTTGAACTCTGGGATTACACTGCCTATGTACTCGATGGTGGGCTCACTCCCCTTTTCATCTTGCATCTCATTCTGGGGACCACATTCAAAGAGACAGCGCCAAATTCAGACCTGGACTTGAAGCTTGCACAGTGCAAGGAGTATATTTGGCCCTTTGTAAGTGGTAGGAACATGAACTTCATGCAACACCCCCTTAAGTGAGACCTGAATCATATTGCTGCATTTATTATGCAGGAATTCTATTGCTACATTTCATTTCTGCTAAGACAAGATTTTCCTTCAAAGCACCATGTCTCAACACTTACAGTATGACACTTCAGTTCTAGTACATCTTCATTTGGAAATACAGTTTAGAAATGAGCATCTAAATACTGATTCACGGATGAATTGGTTCCTCTTCCAGGAGCACTGCTCAGCAGCTGGTGAGGAACCTGATGCTCTCAGGCCGAGTTGGTCAGGAGGACTTCCTTCCCCCATGCTTCCCAAGCAGTAACACTGCCTCTCACGCTCCATCTCTCCTCACCACCCTCCTCTCCCGGGCCATCCCACTGTGCGAGGGGCTGTTTTGTCAGTAGCAGTTTTGCTCCAGCTGGGCTTCCAGGAACAAGCTTGAAGTTCTCATGGCAAGGGGCCGGGTTCAGCGGCAGTACTCCCGCTCGATGCTCGCCATGAGCTCCTCCTCCGAGTAATCATAGGATATTGTGGACTGTCCTGCTGGCTTCTTGCTGTTCCCCTGTGGGCACCTGCCAGGGGAGGGAATGAGTTATTTGTGTTAGGAGAGAGGAGCAAGCTCTAAACATACAAGATGACCCTTACTTCATTTTTTATTTGTGAATGGAAAGATCAAGCTGCACGTGGCCTGCTGAGACATGGATACTCTGTCACGTCTAGTTCCCATACCCCCCCCCAGGCATGCTGCTCACTGACATTTGCTATTGCTTGGCATCTATTTCAGTCTGAGCTCATTGCAGTACAGTGCTTACAAGGCTCCAGATCAAACCCCCAGAACCTTTTGGAGGGTTAGATCAGAGGCCTAGCTAAAGGACTGTATAACCTTTGTGGTAGTTACTAATTTAAGGTTTTGTGCAGAAAGGGCTGGGGTTTTCTTTGTATCTGTAAGGGATTTGAGGTTCAACCAAAATATGAATGCAGCCACCTCAAAGCGCTTGTATGGCTTTTATTTTCACATTAGCACAACTCTCCCATGGTTGGGAAATGATGTACGATTCAAAGGGAATTGGTATGGGTTTTATTGGTGTCATCAGAGGTGGGCTATGTTGGGTACAAGGGAAATCTGTCCCCACCTGCATGAGGGAGAACAGTGCAAAGTCCTCTGCAAACTCTGACCACTGTATCTCATGCTGCCAAGTCTGCTTGATCTTGCCCTCCAGGATTCAAGAGAGGAGACAGAGCTGACAGGTGAGTGCTCCTCCTTGACCTTGTAGGGAACTGGGACGTGAGCAAGCCGTGCTGTCGGGCCAGGCATCTCTGGAAGCTGGGGCACGTGGCTCCATGAAATGGGGGTCATGCTGAGGTGCAGAGCTAAAGGGAGACTTGGACTGGTAAACCCAAACAGTAAAATACTCTGCCATGCCACGTCAACTGAGAATCGTGGGCTTACTTTGTGACCATCCACTGGTGGAGGACAAATAAGCAAGAAAGAAGTGGTTTTGCACGGAAGCTGTTTGCTAAAGAGGAGAGATTTCCATATCTCTGATGCACCAAGCAGGCAAGTGAACATAGAACTGAAGAAAAGAACTCTGGGATGCTTTTCAGAGGAAACTCATTTACAGGAGGAGCTCTCATAAACTGCTCTCCTTGGGTGAGGAGCACCCACAGTGTTCCTCGAAGAGACAGCAGCCAGTCTCCTACAGCTATCACTATGGAGCAAGCAGCAGCAATGCAGCCCTTCCTCTGCTCTTATCTGTCGGGGACAGAAAGGCTTCTGCCCAGCCCTGCTGCTCTGACCTAGCTGTGCTAATGCTATCCCCTGGCGTGACAGAAATAGTTGGATGTTTTCCTGGAGCCACCTGATGACCAGCTGGCGTGGGAGCTGGGTCATGTGGCTGTCCTACTCCCCTGCACCGTGCCCCTGATGGCAAGTTCAACTGGCAGCGAGTAGGGTTTATCAAGTGGGCTCTTCTGCTTATTGCTTTTATCCATTTTCCTTCTTCTCATGGCTGCAGACAATCTGGTTTCCACTGCAGCAAAAAAGAACTGGGAAGAAAGCCACAGGTCCAAGAGCCTGAACCGAACGCCAGCAGATACAAAGCAAGAATTAGGGAAAGGAAATGCAGAACTCTGACTTCAACATGTGATTTATTGATTTAAACTCCACACTCTGACAGTCCCTGAACTACTTTTATGTTACGTGATGAATTAGAGACAGAGCTCTTGGCAGCTTGCTTGCAGGCCCACAGAAGGGTCATTGTTTCTCTCAGCAGTTACATATTTTCCCACTGTTAATTATTCTTGATGCTTTGGCTTGCATGGTGACCTCCAAGCATGGGAGAAAATCTCCAGGTAAAACTGGAAATCATTGAAACATATATGCACTTCTAAAAAGCCCACCTACCACGCACATCCCACAACTGAAAGTAATAGAGAAGGCTGTGAGCAAAGCAAAAGCAAGTTGTTGTTCATGTTCTTTCTACTTTTATGGCAAAGTTCTGTATCATTTAATATGGAAAAACTGATAAAAAATAAAGAATGGGAGGTTCCGTCTGGATAAAAGGAGGAACTTCTGTAGCCTGAGGACAGCCAGCAGAGGAACAGGCTGTGGCTGCACAGGCTGCATCCTTGGAGTCTTTCAAGACCTGATGGACAAAGCCTGGAGCGTTCTGCTTTGACCTCACAGCTGATCCAGCCTGGAGCAGGAGATTGGACTGGAGACCGCGTGATGCCCTCATGACCTGACCCCTGATCTCAAAGGTACGTTGGTGCAGCTGGTTCTGGGATTAAGTGAGAGGCTGTGGCAGGGAAATCCTGAGCACAGGATGTGGTCAGGACAGGAGCGGATGCAATACAACCCTGCTCCTGCCTTCCTCTGGCTGCTCTGGCAGGAGGGGAGGCCCCTTGCTGCTCCCATCAACACAGAGCCAGGGCTGCAGGTCACGGATGAGGATGGGAAGGTCCAGGGTTAATAATTAAAATGCCTTGTGCAATATCTTGCAGATGGAAAATGGGTCAAAACAACGCCCCGGTAACACTGTCAGTGACATGAGCCTTGGCAGCAATTATAGGGTCATTACAGCGTTCCTGGGCTCTGCCATCCCACCCGTGGACTACCGGATGATAGAGAATTCCCAAAATAACTGTGGGGGGAAGGAGAGGTAACACAGCACAATTAGGAATATACCAGTGTGCTCCCATGCACATCAAAGGTATTTGCTAGCCTGGTTTAGGTGCTTATGTGGTGTCATGCTGGCGTGTTTACAGTACAGGAGGTGCACACCTACAGCATCTACCTCGCGTGACTGCTTCCTTGGCAGCCAGCATTAGGTCTCCATGTCTAGTTTTGATTCTCCTTGACTGACATTTATTTCTTCTTTAATTGGCTTCACGGGAATGTCTCCAGTCAGCAGCTCCACCAAGACGAGGTTGATTTTTGCTGCTTGTAACGTGAGTGCTTACCTAGAATAATTTCAGCGGCAGAAATGTGAAGGGTGAGACTCCTGCACCCATTAACTGCTGTTTCTGGGCTTCACTCGATCTGATTTCTTCAAAATATGGTTTTGGACCATTCCCAATAAAGTGTTTGTGTGCAGTTCTTGCCAGCAGAAATTGCAGCCCTGGTTATCACGGGCAGTACGGGCACTTCACACATGGGGCTTCGCAGTGGGTATAAAGTGAATGTTATCTAAATGAAAATCAGCTCCTGCTCTGTCATCCCGGGTTATAAACCTGCTTCTGCTGTCTCAAGTCCTCCCTTTTGCTTCTCAGAGAGGGAGGGAGAAGGAAAGCCTTGTCAGGTGTGAGGGGCCAGCGGGAGCCTGGGACTAGGAAGCACGATGGGAACTGTTGCAGGGCTTGTTGTGCACCCCCAGAGGGGGCCGTTCAGTTGCCATCACAGTCCAAAGCCCATTGAAGATGCTGGAAAGCCCAAGAGAGTCCCCACGAGCCCTGCTGCTGGGAAAGCTGAGGGGAGAGGTGTTTTCCAAGTGCTCCTGAATCCAGCAGCCTTGCCAGTGAGCTCCCTGCCAGCTGGGAGGGAGAGGACAGGGGAACAGGGTGCCCGGGCTCTCCTGTCACATCCACCAGCACTGCTCAGCATTAGCAGGTCGCACAGCCCGGCAGCCAGGATCTGCAGGTTGGTCTGCTCTCGAGTGCTGCGAGAGCAGAGAGCTGGTCACAGTCAGAGCTTAACCTTGCGAGGGTCGCTCTCCACCATGAGGAGATGGTATTTTAGGATGTTTTTTCAAGCCTTTTTGTTTCATTTAGGTTCCTTCAACATGTGTGGCAAACTGCTCCCATTGCTCTTGGTGCAGGCAGACTCAGAGGAACAGCTTTCGCTTGTGAAAGAGCTCAGGTTTCTTTTGTCACCTAGTGCAGCAGGTCCCCACCATTCCCCTGTCCCTGAGGGACACTCATGTCTCTAACTGATGTGCTACAGGAGTGCCCCATGAGTTTTCTTTATGATTCCTGGGTAGGAAAGAGATGTTATTCTCCTTTTCTACATGCTGCAGAGCCCACACATGGCCTGTGGGTGAACCAGGGCCTGAGCTACTCCTTGAAGCAATTCTCCCTAGCTTTCCTCCCTAGTTTTGTCAAGTTCCATCAAGGTGCCTCTCTGGCATGCAGACATCCTAGATTCTGCATTGCTCATGACAAGAAATCATAGAATCATAGAATAGTTAGGGTTGGAAAGGACCTTAAGATCATCAAGTTCCAACCCCCCTGCCATGGACAGGGACACCTCACACTAAACCATCTCACCCAAAGCCTTGTCCAACCTGGCCTTGAACACTGCCAGGGATGGAGCATTCACAACCTCTCTGGGCAACCCATTCCAGTGCCTGACCACCCTAACAGGAAAGAATTTCCTCCTTATATCCAATCTAAACTTCCCCTGTTTCAGTTTTAACCCATTACCCCTTGTCCTATCACTACAGTCCCTAATGAAGAGTCCATCCCCAGCATCCCTACAGGCCCCGTTTCAGATACTGGAAGGCTGCTATGAGGTCTCCAAGCAGCCTTCTCTTCTCCATGCTGAACAGCCCCAACTTTCTCAGCCTGTCTTCACACAGGAGGTGCTCCAGTCCCTGAATCTCTACACTGTACTTGAGCTGGAGCTGGATCTTTTCAGGCAGCATACCTCCTGGATTTTCTTTTTAATTAGGGAATAGGTAGAAGACAGGCTATGTAGGCCTATAACCCATTCCCACCTCTCTCTTGCACAGTAGCAGGCATGCAGGAATAGCTTTCCCCTTTATGCTCCCTTTGTTCCAGCTGCTTTCCTCCCCAAAGTTATAATGAAATCACAGGGTACTCACTGATGGTCAGCATTGTTGTTCCCTGGGCTCACAGGGCTTCTGGTTGACAAAGCCTGTGAAAGAAGAAAAGTCATGTATTTCAGTTACAACACTGTGAAGTTGAGGAAGGTGATCCTGCCCCTTTACTCTGCTCTGGTGAGACCCCACCTTCAGTACTGCATCCAGTTCTGGGACCCTCAGGACAGGAAAGACCTGGACCTGTAGGAGAGGGTCCAGAGGAAGCTACAAAGACGATCAGAGGGATGGAGCACCTCTCTTTGAGGAAAGGCTGAGAGCGTTGGGGTTGTTGACAGGCGGGTTGGACCGAATGATCTTCAAAGGTCCCTTCCAACCCAAACTATTATTTACTTCTATGAAAACCGTCTATACTGGGTTATATCTGCCCTGGTTTAAACCCCCAAACAGCCTCTGTGGAGAAAATACAGGTGCAAGAGAGTGTCCTCTACTAACTACCACTCTGCTAGCTCTCATTCACCATTCAGGGCAGCTGGGTGGCTGCAGGCTAAGGAACCAAATCACTGAACGTTAACTCATTAAACTTCCCAGTTTTCACTGCTCACCCTCCCCCCCCAGCTGACAGGGAGCACTATGGAAATACCTGCTAAGGAAGGAAGTTAAAGCAATAAGGACCCCGTTCTTCTCACCTGACAAAGCCATTTCCCTGAAATGATCCATGTGGAATGAAACATCCACCTTACCTATGCTGGAATCCCACAGGTTTCCAGTAGGACAGCAGGGGGGCAAACCTAACAGCACATAAAATGGGAAAATGATGGGACATTGTGTCTGCCTGAGCCCCCAGCTGGACCAGGAATAAAATGATCCCCTGCAGCCAGATGCTACTGAGGAGAATATCACTTTGTTTTCAACTTCCTCTTTGTACTATGGGAGACTTGTAACATCTTTCGGTACCTGTCAAAGGTCCCTGCTCTTTGGCAATGCTTTGCTTTCTCTGGAAGAGCCTGAAGTGCTTAAGAAACAGTTCCTGGGTCCAAGAAGAGATGAGGCTATGTGAGAAAACTGATGGCAAGGGAACAGAGCTCCTGCCTGGTTACTTAGCATCATTTACTGGCTATCTCCCACAAGCAGCAAGAGCAAGCAGTGGTGCCAGGAGGACGCCACGCTGTGTTCCAAGGGCTGACGTCTCCTGGGTGTGTGCTCTGTAACGCTGTCCCTCATCCTCATGATCACCATCACCCACTGGGCTCCTGCTGCCACCCCGGTTTCTTTCCACCAGGTGAAGAACATTATTCATCCTCAGCACCAAGGGGAATACAGCTCTCCAGGAGTGCTTTGATGATGCTCTTCCCACAGCGAGAACCCAGCTTCCAACACCTCTGGCAATGGATGGGTTTGGATCATTTTAGGGAGGGGTCTGAACTGTACAGTAGGTTGCCTTTGCTTTCTTCCCTTGTGGCTGAATCCTCCATATTATGAGCTGTACGTGTGGTGTGGGTGGAACACAGAATTAATTAGTCATCAGGACAGAGCAGCTCTGGGTAGCCGAATCTGCTTCTCTGTGCAAAATCAGCTCCCACCTTCTCCAACGGATCTGTCAGCAGCAACACTTATTTCCCAAGAGAACCTGGCACTGGCAGAGGTGGCTCTCTACTGACACAGAACCCGGTGCATGACATACAACTGGTGACAAGTGAAACCAGAAGGCACCTCCAGCCTCTGCCCCTCCTTCACCGTCAGAGCCTCCACACTTTGGGAGCTGCTCCCAGCTCACCCGGGCACAGGACGCGTGGCTCCGCGGTGCTGCATGGTGCCGGGCAGCAGGCAGGACTTGGAGCTGTCACGAGCACTGAGGCACAATGAGGCTGACCCCACCCAGCCTGGCCGGCACTGCTGTGATGTGCGTGGTGCAAGGTCAGCACGTAATTAGTACCAGCCCTTCATGTCTGTTAATATGATGCACACGTCACGACACTTAATATTATGGGTTCCTATCCTACAGCTAAATAAGTAATTGCAGGCCTGCTTGGCCTGTGCCCTGCTAAGAGATAAATGAAGTCAGCTTCTCCTTTCTGCAGCTTGCAGTCATCTTTTTATTACGCATTCAGACCACAGCGTGTCTCCTTGTTTTCCACCCTGTTCCCAGTGTAGGCATCTTGTGCTGGGGTCTGTTGTGCTACAATGCCCCACACTGCCACCTCCTCCAAGTTGGAAGGCTTGGATATTAAGCTCACCCAGCACTTACTTGGGTTTAATTTGAGGTAATAAGATGTGAGGGGGAAAGGTTTGTCAGCCATTGCACACAGAGTTCAGCCATTCTTCATGTTAGGGCAGCGGCTCCTGGGAGCAAGGCAGAGCAGAGAGCTGGAACCATGGGCTATTTCTCTCTATTGCATGCATGAGCCAGCACTCCCAGGGTGCAGTTTTGTGTTCCCCACAACCCAGGGCAAGCTGTGGCTGGTGTTCCTTATAGTCCAACCCTTCCCTATCAACTCCTTCCCCTCTCCTTCTGTCAGCTCTAGCATCTGCAGGTGAGCTGGGTGAGAAAACATGGCCCTGGCACCCATAGGGCAATGTGGAGCAAATGCACCATCACAGGCCCTGAACTGCCCCCCTTCTGTGTTGAAACCAGACAACTATAATCTCAACTGTTAAAATCACATTGTCTCCAAAACTAGGTGGCCAAATTCAAATGCCTTTTGGGGATGGTCCCTGAGCCATGCCCAGGTGCTGTTTAGGAGCCTGCATGTTGATCTTGGCCAAAACCATGCCAGCTTAGCGGGGCAGACCATTGTGATCCAATGCCAGGCAGCTGCTATGGTACAGTTTACCAGTACAGATACAGCTCTGAGACACAGACGTAGACCCTGAGTGGGTCCATCATGTACAGGAGAGCCTAGAGAGTGACAGAGCCACCTAAAACATCCTCATGGGAGCTGTGTGGTCCCCAAAAGTGCTGGTCCCCTGGGCTGTGATTTCATAGCACAGATGTAAGCCACTGCCTCCTTCCCTGCCTCCGCTCTCCCTTCAGAAACACCCCGTGAACTGGAGCAGGGGACTGGCCTCAGCTGAAATGAAGGCGATGTCAGCCGGAGCATGGGGCAGCGGCAGCCTGCACAGAGCCTCAGCAGGCTGAGCTGATACAGCAGAAGGGCAGCACCCCCCAGCGACGCCAGCCAACGGTGTGGCTGGCTAAGACAGCCATCGCTGCCCAAACCAGGCTCTCACGGACCCGGACCCGCAGCCGCGAGTACCAATGCCAAAACAATCCAGTTTATCTAACGCGTCAGTAGGTACCAAACGGGATGTATAGCTCCAGCCTTGCTCTGGTCTGCAGCAACATCCTCTGGCCAGTGAAGGAATTAGGAACATGCGATGGACGGGAAGTGGGCAGGGACATGGGGAGTTCCCACGCTTCTCCTCTCCTGCCAACTAAAACACCAGCTCCCAGCTATGCTGCGCATGCCCTGTGCTTAGTTTCTGGATCAGGAATGGTTTCAGGGCAAAAGAGACCCGTGCTCTGCCAAGTGATGAGGAAAAAATACCTAGTCATCAGGTTTCTGGATCCAGCTGCAGCCCAGCTGTGCTGGGAGGGTAACGGTGGCTGAGGGGACAGCACAGCTCACTGCTTGCTGGGCGCTGACATTCCAGGTGCTTTTAAGAAGGCAAGGATCATAATATGAGAGAGAAGGAGATCTGCTCAGCAACCACCTGGACATTAACTGCAGAACCAGAAATAACCTGACTTGGGGCTTTTGATGTAGCTGCTTCCCTAGTCCGGAGTTGGAGTCCTGGCTGTTCAGCTGGGAAAGCCCTGAAGCACCCTGGCCAGTGGAAGTTGTGTTCCCTACACAAACTGTAGGAGAACTACTTGCCTCGGGGGCATTTCTGACCATTAACGCAAGTGGGAAGAAAATGTTGAAATAACTTGCTAAGGGCACTGAATCAGAAACAATCAAATTTCTGCTAGAGGGAAGCACATTTTAACAGGAGCAGAAAAATAAACTTGTGTGAGTTCCTGTAAGAAACTAATGGGCACAACATGAAATGTCCCCACAGGCACCTGCTGTGTGTTCACAGCCATGAGATGATGCTGCACGACATCAATCTGCAGCAAGAACATTCATCTGGCTGAAAATATCACACAAAGCCTTAAAGTCCTAGGTGTTTTGAAAGGATATGATAGTCCTTCTAGAAATCAGTTAATAGACCTGCTACCTGTGTTATTCTTGTGCTGGAGCTGGGGTGACAGGCTTACTGCAATCACATCCCATCTCCAGCCAGGACGATTGGTGGTGCCATGGAAAAAGCTCTTCAAGCAAGGCCCTAACACGTCTGTGTGACTGTTCCATTTCAGGAAACTAGTGGGGAAATACCTGAGGCTGCAGCTTTTCCCCTGCTTCCCACCAGGAGCTGCCATCCCACTCTGTGCTGCGGCAGCACCTATAAAACCACAAATACTTTTTCTGTGTTGAACAAAGAAACAAGGAAGAAGCACATACAGCTGTCTGGAATTGAGGGCTATCTTGAAAACAGACGTCTGAAGCTGACAAGGAGGTATTGGGGTCTGCTCTGAGCTGGGATTTGGTTCCCAGCCCACTGTTGCAGCATACTTTCAGGCTTCTCACTTCCAGGCACTATTTAAATGCAAAAGAGGTAGCTCAAGCCTTTAGATGCAGCCACATCCCTCTCCTCCAGCCCCTGCCACCTGGCCTGACTGCCCGTTGCTGCTGCCAGCTTGCTGCTGGATGATGCAGTGCATCAGGGTTTCAGGTGTGAAGCATAGTGCTGATGCACATCACATGCAGGAGAAACCCAACCATCACAGCAGAGAGCTGAGTCCCGCCTGCAGGCAACCGCTCTCTTCTGGCCAGCGCCAAACCTTTCCTCTCCTTCAACTGGCCACAGTCTGCTCCCCCATGGGCTATTTCTCACTGGACTTCTCTACTGCAGTATCTCCTTGTTGCCTTTCCTCCTCCTCCCTCGTCTTTCCCCCATTAGCTTTCTTAACTCAACTCATCCCTTCTCTGAAGTGTCTTTGCTCATGCTCCAGTCTGCACAGCTGAGCAGGGCGAAGCAACGCAGCTCTCACCACAAGACAGAAGTTACAAATGACTGCTTGAGAAGCTGGCAAGACTGAGAGAAACTGCCCTCAAAACTTCTAACAAGGAACTAGTAATTGCAACGAAGCTGGTATCCCTTTCCAGAAACCACCTCCGCCAGCCTCATGGGAAGGGTGGGACTGCAGTTAGCACAACGACCTGAACGACTAAACTGCATCCAGTAAACAACCAAAACTTGGTGCTGCAAACAGTTCCCTCCCTCCTCCTCTCAGGCTAGTGACTTTTTAGGCCTTGAGGAGTCAGAATGGTAAGCCCATGTCTGCTGTCTGTACCAAGGCCATGCCATGCTCAGGTAAAGAAAGTGCTCCCAAGGAGAGCTTTGTTTTCCCTGAAAATATCTCAGATTTTCTTGTATGTCTTTTATATCTCTGAAAAACATTGGCTTTGAAAAACTCTGGTAATTTCTTGCTGTCTTTCAGGCAACCTGTCTTGGTGAAACCAGAGATGTGAACTTCCTTCCCAGAGGTAGCAGCAGCAGCTGGATGAGCAGACACACAAGATGCTTGGTGTCACTGAGGTGTCACAGGCAGCATCGCTGTGTGCTGCAACCAGCTGGCCACACTGAGTGACTGAGCCCCCACATGCCAGCTTCAGGCTGGATTTTGAAGGCCCTCACAGTCATTTCTGTGCTGCAGTGCTTGACAGTATTCCCATCCCGAGTTTGCATCCTGTGTGACCACAGCACGGGGTGGCTGAGGTGATGCTCTGGGTTCCTCACCATCATTTCTGCTGGAGGAGGAGGTCTGTAGCAGGGGCATAGTGACCCCCTCTACCCCACCCCAGGTGCCACATCTTTAATTCTTCAGCCTTTCTGTTTTGCTCCTCGTCATTAGCTCTCTAGAATTCACTGCCATGGAATATGCCTCTCTGACTGAGATGGGGAACAGCTCCACTGCCTTTTTTGATATGTAATTACCCAGAATATACATCACTTCACATAGAGCTAAAATACTGCTTTATGCACAGAAAAAATCACCATTGATGTAATAACTATTTTTAAAGACCCAGCCATGATATTCACATGCAGAAACAGGAGGAAATGGACACCACCAACCTCTATACCCATAAGCAAAGGTAAAAGGGAGAAGTCAGGAGGACTGCTTATAAATGAGAGGCCCACAGACAGAAGGTGGTTCTGGACTGAGCTCCTGTTCACACCGCAGGAGGGTTTGGAGTTAAAACAGCAAGGAAAAACACGACAGTACAAGATGTCTGGTTTTGTTTTCCACTTCCAAATCTGACTTTCTTTGAGGCTTTTCTTTAAAACTCCTCAAAAAAAAATCAAAACCAAAAACCAACAAACCTCCAAAAGGTTCTCATAACTGAACCCTGCCAAGTTTCCTAATGGCAAAATTACTTTGTGTTAAAGTTACCCCATGGACATGCAGTTCGGCAACGGAAATGATACACTTCTACAGAGCAGAGCAAAACCGAGGCAGGCAAGGCAGAAAGTTCCCGGGTTCTCAATATTCATTCTATTTTTAAATCTCTTACTTTAGTCTGACGACTGTTGTGCATTTGCGGAGAGCAGCGTTTATCTAACAAACAACACACGACTTCCACAGCTAAGGAAAGATGACAGAAGCTGGCAAGTTCTGGCCTCGTCACCAGATGATATAGATGCTGCTGTTATTTTCGGATGGGAAAAGAAATAAGAAAAGACAAATCCCGACCCCCTCAGAGGCAAATCCATTATTTGTTAAATCGAAAGAGACTGAAATGCGTCCTTAGGAAGAGCCAGACTGCAGCTGTAGTGGATTGGCAAACATTAAACGGCAGCTTTATGTTCATGTTTTTAAACTCCTGTTTACAAGCCCGACCCAGGGAGAAGCAGGAGCCGGCCTTCATAAAGCCGAGCTCTTTCCACAAGGGAGGAAAAGAAACTTTCAGTAGCACAGGGCAACTGGCGACCGAACGGAATCGCCCTTTTCGGGACCATGTTTCCCTTGCACCATGGGAATGATGCAAGGGAGAGAGAGAATGCGAAGGGAGCAGCCAGCGTGACCGGGAATACTTCGCTAGTGAAGGTAGAAAGAGTTCAGTGCCACTTCTGCCTGGAGGAACCCGCGGCTGCAGTAGTTACCCTCGGCTGCGTCAGGGCTCCCCTGTCCAGCGGGAACCCGCAGGGGATGGGGGGTCCCGGGTGCGGGCACTTACCGCCTGCAGCAGCAGAGCCCCCCCGCCGCCTCCCGCCGCCGCGTCCCCGCAGCGGCCGCCGTCCCCGATCGGGGGGGTACCGGCGGCGGCCGGGGCTCGGCGGCCGGGGGTGGGCAGCGCCGCCGCCTCCTCCTCGCCCTCTGCCAGCGCCGTCTGCAGCAGCTCCCGGCGCTTCGGCGCCTTGCCCACGGGCACCGCCGCGCCCCGCCGCCGGCTGCTCCCGCTGCCCATGGCCGCCGCCGGTGCCGCAGCCCAGGGGCTGTGCCGGCGGGAAGCGCTGCCGGGCCCCGCCGCCTCTCCCGGCCGGGGCGGGCGCGGTTCTTGGCCGCTCCTCGGTTCCCAAAGCCTTTGGGGGAGGGGGCAGAATCCCACCCAGAAGTGGCCCAGCGGCGGGGAGGGAGCCGGGATGCAGGGGGGGGTGCCCGGGTGTCTCTAACCACGCTCTCTGAACACAGGGCGCCCGCAGGCTGCCTCCCTCCGCTTACCCTGCCAAAACCTTCGACACCCGCCCGTTATGTCAGGCCTCCAGAGCCTCCCGTTCCTTACATACACCTCCCAGCGGTGTCAGCTCCAGGGACCATGCAGCGGGAACAGCAATCCTGAGCTAAATTCCAGGACACCTCACTCAGACAGGTCTTGCAGAGCTTTGGAGGATAATGAACGCAGCCCAGAGGAACTTAAACATGGGAGATTTAGGTTAGATATAAGGAAGAAATTCTTCATTGTGAGCATCAACAGGTTGCCCAGAGAAGCTGTGGATGCCCCATCCTTGTCAGTGTTCAAGGCCAGGTTGGATGGGGCTTTGAGCGACCTGCTCCAGTGGAAGGTGTCCCTGCTCATGGCAGGGGGTTGAAACTGGATGATCTTTAAGGTCCCTTTCAACCCAAACCATTCTGTGATTCTATGATGCCGTTTGGGGCACAAAGTGGCAGTTCTGGCAGTGCTCTTGGGCTGAGGAGGGTTTCTGTCCTTGGACTGATCAGTTAAAGGACTGAAGTTTCAGGAGAGCCTCATGAAAAGGATGAGACATGTGGGCACCTCCTCAGCTTCACCCGTGGATGGAGTCACTCTCTGCTTCCCAGCAGCCTGTTGAGCCTGTGGAGCAGATGCCCTAACCATCATCCACTGCTTTCTTCTGTCTTTGCTTCGGACAATAAAGTGTTTGTGTTGGACACTCTGGAAGGTGTCACTCTTTACAAAGTCCCTGTTAGAGGCCAGGCTGTTGTTTTTCCCCTGCGGAGTAGAGCATCAGGGGTAAGGTGTGGCTATTTGGATTCCAGCCCCGATATGCAGCCCGGGGTTGAGTGGGAAGGAGAGCACATCTCATGTACATGGGTGCAATGGGCTGTTCCAGCTGCAGGAGAGGGGAGTTGAGGAGAGGTCTTTTGACCTTGACCACTCAAACTGCACTGAGGGAGTTCAGTCCCAACCTTGGACTCAAGCTGCTTCCTTGAATTAACCCAACCTACATTATTTCATCCTGGGAAAGCACATTCCTGTAGTCATACTGCTTTTTGGACACGACGTCAGCATCTCTGAAAGAGGAGGCAGTGGGGCCTTTGGGCTGAGTGGAACCAGCGGTGTTGTCAGCCCTCATGGGCTGTTCCTCAGGGCCCTTCGGGACATGGCTCTGCCACCTTTTCCTGTCCTGTTTTCTGAGCTTTCCCCATCATGACTGGTGCGTGTGCTCTTGGGGGACTGTGGGCTGAGGTTCACCATGTATGGCGCATCCTTCCCCAAGGGGAAAGGCTCTGCAGGCATCAGGGACAAACAGCATTACCAATAAGAAGTGAGCAGATTCTTCCTCCTCCTCCTCCTCTATCCCTGCAGGCTGTCTCTGAAGGACTGGAGCCTCCTGGAAAGTTTCCTGGCTGCCCCCATGGAAACAGTTCATTCCAGGGCAGTCCCTCAGATGGGCTTGGAAGTGATGCTGGCTCCATAAACCGGCTGTCAAAGCGAGCCAAACGCCTTGTGTTTTGAACCAGTTCACTTCTGGAGCCAGGGAAGTGTTTGAGCAGTGGTGACCTCAGATGCTGCTGCCGTGGTTTGGCAGTGACACTGAAGGACTCTGAGGCCATTCAGCGATATTTTCCTGCTGTGAAGACTTTAGGACTGCTGAAAATTAGCAGATTTCCCAAAAACTAAAGGCCTGGTAAGCACATGACTTCTCAGGAAAATAAATGATGACTGGCTGTCAAATTCCTCTTTAAGATGGACTGGTGGCTTTTAACACTGTTTCCCATCAGGACCAGTGGATAATATCTTGGCTGATCTTCAAGGGTTGGAAGTGTGTAGTGCAAGTGCCAAGTATGGCATGTGGATCAATTTTGGATGGCGCCCAGCCAGGCCGGCAAGGAGCCAGGAGCTTTCACATCCAAAGCACAGCGTTGAGAGCCAGCGGCGCCGGCTCCTGGCTTCTCCCGAGTCCTGTGGGAGCCCAGGAGCTGTTTGGGAGGACCATGATGCAGTTACATGGCAGGTGGCCTCTTCTGACTCCTGCTGTGCTGGCACCCCTGGCCGCTGCTCTGGGAAAGAAAAGGATGTGTGCTGTGCCTACCTGTTAGACAGCACTTTTCAAACCTGGCAATTGTTTCTTCTAATAAAGGAATTAATTATTTATGTGTATGTATGTATATATATATGCATTCATACACACCCCCACATCTATAAGTATGCATAGTAACAGCCAAGTCTTGCCCAAACCATCACATTTATTTGAGCAACACGGGAGTATTTTAAGACTATTATCCATTGAAGCCACCAGCACCGATTTGTCCTGCTGTAGTATTTGACTCGACTTCTAACAGCAAAGTTAGTGGAGTCAAGACAGTCAATTACCTGGGCAAAATATTACTTTCAGATTGCTCATTCCCTGAGTATGAGAATAAACCAGACGGACTCTGCCTTACCCCATGTCTCATCCCCAGACTACACGTACCATGGTAACTCTCCTCTCTCCTGACAGTCCTTCGTCTGTGAGGGCACGTGGAAAATCACAGCCAGCTCCAGCCAAGTTGCTTGTCCCCAGCCCCTGGTTGCTGTGGGATGGTCTCACAGACCTTATCCCACACCTTATCTCAATCTCAAAGTGAGAACCTATAGTGCCAGGCTTCCTTTCTACTGAAGGCAAGGGCTTGAGGTTCCTCTGTGATACAGAGCCTGAGCTTTTTGCTTCCTCAGGTCTTTGCTCTATGTCTCCCAACCCCTGAAGCAACCCCCTCGCTACAGGACAGATCTTCATGACTTTAGCCAGTGCAAGGACCAGCAGAGCCCATCCCTTGCACTCATGACATTAGTGCAAGGAGGGGATGGGGCAGATGGAAGACAGATACCAACACACCCTCTGCCCCACAGACAGGTTCCTCTGGCAGGAGCAACACCCCAAGAGGGTCCCAGCACCAGCATTTGGAAGTACGGGGTGGGGAGGGGGGGGCTGTAGCTGGGCTGTATTGCTTTTCATCCCAGAGAGGCATGATGGGCAGCTGCAGCACTACTAGTAGTTACTATGGGAGCAGCAGAGAGCAAACATATGAGGAGCTTCCTTGCTGGGTAAAATAACAGGCTCCCTCCGATACAATAATCAAAACAGAACCTGGGGAGCTGTTTTGTCAGGTTTTTGTTCCCACTAGAAATTTTCTAGGCTATTTGCAGTTAGTTCATAGAAGGAGCTGATCTTGTAACAATAAACATCACACCATGTGTTTAGGTTTTGTCTTCTTTCTTAATACTTGCCGTATTTTCAGCAGGTCTTCCGTAAAGATAGATACAGCCTCTTGGTGTGAGAGCTCTGGAAAGCTATGGGATTCTTTGTGGTCACCTATATTAACCACAAAAAGGATTAAAAGTCACAGGTGAAATGCATCATGTCAGAAATAATCTTCCCCTTTTGCTCACTGGCTAAAAGGGTGGTTCCTCCTGTGCTGTCCAGGTATCCTAAGTACCTGCTTCCCTGGGATGCAGCATGGAGAGGTGCTGCATCTTCCCAGCTGTCCCCCACTCTGTCACAGACACTGCCTGATGGTCATAGGGAAGGACATGCTGGCAAGTTTGGGTAAAGCCTGGAGATCTTGGTACAGATTTTTCTGTGGGTTTGTTAGAAGCAGCCCCGTGAAAGCCCATTAGGAGTTTGTGCAGATTTCAAACTCTCTTAGGCAGCTTTTGCCATGCTTTAGGAAGAAAATGATAAGATTTGGTCTCTATGGAGCATGCGGGAGAACCTTTATCTTTCCCTCTGCAAACTGCTGGACTGGCGTTACCCTTCAGTGAACAGGTTTATTTATTAATCTGCCTTTCTATCATTAACTTGTGTGTAGCAAAGGCACATTGCTCAAAGCAGAGCCAGCCTCTATCGCCTGGCTTTCAAACCCTTTCCCAGATGCCATCTTCACTTGGGGTTTTCTGCAATTCTAACCCAAAACCTCCTGCAAAATTTATTACTAATTCTGACAGTTCTCCAGGCCTTTGCTTTGATGCTGAGACTTCATGTCCTGACCTGATGAGCTGTGAAGTGCAGCACACAGAAAAAGCTGGGCTTGAGAACAGAGCACAGCTTGGGTACCCAAATGGGGAGCAGAGGAGGGAATTGGCTTTGCTGCCACAAGAAAAATAGTTGCAAGAGAGCCCAGTGAGACACAGAGAGAAAAGGTCCAAGAGGCTGAGTTGGAAAGTGATGGTTAGGAGTTAATGTTCCCAACCTCCTTTGTCTCTATTGCTGCTCAAGGTGCTGCATTGTACTGAGCGTCCCTTTGGCTGAGATGGGCTGGAAAGGTGGGCTCTTCACAGCAGAGGAGACCAGTTCCCTTGCTGAAGAGCCATCCTACAGCAGAATGGGACCAGGACACAGCTAGAGGAGGGATGGAGGTTGCCCCTATGTAATTAGCAGAGCTGGGCTTTGGCCCAGGACTGGAGTTTGACTCATCTAATTTGCAAAAACCTGCTGAGAGCAGATGTTTAAATATAAAAGCATCTTTTTTAGGAGTGTCCTTTCAACACATCTTGGATTTTACTGCACCCTAAGCATTGTCAGTAAAAACTTATTTTCTCCCTGCTTCCCACATGCTAAGGGGAGGGCTCTGCTCTGTTCAGAAACAGGAGAACAAAGGCCCAGCCCAGTGAAGAGTTACATTTTGTGTGTCTCACCATGCTGTCTTCCTGTGGTCTTTCCTTTGGGACCTCGGAGGACTCATGCCATGGGAGCACTTCCACCAGCAGCAGCTGCAGCTGGCTCAGGC